GCAGGAAGCTGGGGGAGTGCGTCGGTGGATGGAATGGAAGCTGCGGGAGTGGGGGCTGGGTGATGGTATGGATACGCTGGGAGTGGTGTGGGGATGGATGGAAGCGGGGAGTGTGTGTGGGTGTGGATGGATGGAATAGCGCGGACGTGGGCTGGGTGGATGGTACGCTGCGGGGCGCTGGCCGCGGCGCACGACGTGGGTGGGATGGCGTAGCTGGGGCGTGGTGTGGGTGCGATGGATGCAACACAGGGGAACGTCGTGCGGTTGGATTGGTGGATGCGAATGGATGGATGAAGCTGGGAGGTGGCTGGGCTGTGGATGGATGAAGGTTGCGGGCTGTGCGGGTTGGGTTTGGATGGATGCAAACAGGGAACGCGGTGCGTTTGATTGGCATGGATGGATGGCATGGATGGGAAGTGGGGAGAGTGGCGTGGGTTGGAATGGATGGGAGCTGGGATGTCGGGTGGGGGATGGATTGGAAGCTGGGGACCGTGGTCTAGTGGGTGGATGGATGCAGAGCTGGGGAGTGGGTGTGCGCAGGGTGGGTGGTATGTAATAGATAGTGCTGGGGGAGTGCAACCGTGGGTGGATGGATAGAAGCTGCGGAGTGACGTGGGTGGTGGGATGGAAGCTGGGAGGCGAGGAGCCGTGGTCATGGATGGAAGCTGCGGGAGTGGGGGGGTGATGGATGGTAGCTGGGAGTGTTGTGGAATGGGATGGTAGCCTGGGGCGTGGGGTGGTGGATGGATGGAAGCGGGGAGTTTTGCGGTGGCCGTGGGTGGATAGGATGGGTTAGCTTGGGGAGTGATGTGTGGATGGATGTCAAGCTGTGGGGGCGTGGGTTGGCGTGGGCTATGGATGGAAGCTGGGGAGTGGCGTGGAGTGGAATGGCTGAGGGGAGACGTGGGGGATGGTGGCCGTGTGGTGGCCGATGGTAACTGACGGGCGTGGGTGCACGCCGGGGGCGCGGTGGAGTGGATGGTTAGCTGGGCGCGCGTGGGTGGGGTGGATGGATGCAAACAGGGGAACGGCTGGTTGGATTGGTGGGGAGGATGGAATGGATGGGAAGTGGGGGAGTGGGTGGCGGTGGTGGATGGAAGCTGCGGGCGTGGCTGGGTGGATGGATGCAACCAGGGGAACGGCTTCGGTGGTTGGATTGGTGGAATGGTGGATGGATGGAGTGCGGGAGTGCGTGGCGTATGATGGAGCTGGGGAGGTGGGAGTGGTGGATGGATGGAAGCTGGGACGGGTGGGTGGATGGTATGGGGAGCTGGGGGAGCTCGGGCTCGCGCGGTGGATGATAGAAGCTGGATGTGAGTGGGTGATGAGATAGAAACGCTGGGGAGTGGGTGGGTGGGTGGATGGAAGCTGCGGACCGTGCGCCGTGGGTGGATGGTATGGTAGCTGGGGGAGTGTGTGGATGGATACGGTAGCTGAGGGCGTGGAGTGGGCTGCGTGCGATGCGAAGCGGTGGGAGCTGCGCGCTGGAGTCGGGATGGATGGGAGCTTGGGACGGCGCAGTGTCCGTGGCAATGGCATAAGGGTAGCTGGGGCGTGGGGCATACGGTGGAGTGGATTGGACTGGCGTAGCCTGGGGAGTGACGTGGGATGGATGGTAGCTGGGGAGTGTGCTCGGGTGGTCATGCCAGGAAGGCGACTGGGGAGCGCTGTCGGGCGCAGGCCTCCGCGACTGACGGAGGATGTCACCATAACCTCTGCTACGAATCCCCGGAGACGTCTAATCTCGCACGAAACCAGCCTCATCATCACACAAACTTATCCATCCTTCACGCACTCCACGTACATGGAATGGAAGCTGGGGGCCAAGTGTGGTGTGTCCCGGTGGATGGAGCTGCGCGGGAGGTGGGTGGGTGGCCCATGGAGCAATACACGGGGAACGGCCTGGTGGTTGGGATTGGTGGATGGATGGTTATGGATGGAGCTGGGGGAGTGGGGTCAGCAGGGGTGGTGGATGGATGGAAGCTGGGGAGTGGCTGCCCGCGTGGGGGATCTGGTAGCTGGGGAGTGTCGTGGTGTGGAATGGATGGTAGCTGTGGGGTGGCGTGGCGCTGGTATGGATACGAAGGCTGGCGAGTGTGTGGATGGATGGTGAGCGCTGGGGGTGTGTGGATGGATGTAGCTGGGCGCATGTGGTGGGTGGATGGATGGGAAGCTGGGGAGTGTGTGGATGTTGGTAGCTGGGGAGTCGTAGTGGGATGGGATGGTAGCTGCTGGGCGGTGGGTGGGTGGAATGGGATGCAAACAGCGGAACGGGTGGTCTGGATTGCGTGGATGGATGGCATGGATGGAAGCTGAGGGAGTGGGTGGTGGCATGAGATTGTGAAGCTGGGGAGCTGGTGGCTCTGTTGGAGTGAGATGGCAGCTCGGGGAGTGCTGTGGCGGTGTGGATGGATGGTAGGCTGGGGAGTCGGCCGCTCGTGGTGGCGGATAGAAGCTGGGGGTGTGTGGCGATGGTAGCATGGGAGTGTCCGTGGGATGGATCGGTAGCTGGGGCGTGGGGTCGAGGTGGATTGGAATGGAAGCTGCTGGCGGAGTGGTTTTCGTGGGTGGGATGGTAGGCTGGGGAGTGGCGTGGGTGGATGGATGAGGCTGGGTGATGGGTGGCAGGTGGTGGTTAGCTTGGGGACGTGTCGTGGGCAATGGTGCGTAGCTGGGGGGGGCGTGGGTGTGGGTGGTGGCCCCACTGGGATGGAAGGCTGGGGAGCACGTGGGTGGCGTGGAGTAGTCTGGGGGAGTGGGTGGCGTGGGTGCTGGATGGTAGCTGCCGGAAGTGTGTGGGTGGGATGGTCAGCTGGGGAGTGTGTGGTCGTGGCATGAGATGGAAGCTGGGGGTGGGGTGGCGTGCGATCGTAGCTGGGAGTGGGTGGGTGAGCAGTGGGATTCGGCGATCGCTGGGAACGTGTCGGTGGCATGGATGGATAGCTGGGAGAGTGGGTGGAGGCGGTGGTGATCACTGCGATGGAGCTGGGGCCTCGTGGCGTGAGGTGGATGGATGGAAGCTGGGGCGTGGGTGGTTTGGTTTTGGATGGATGCAAACAGGGGGAACGGTAATGTGATTGGAATTGAGTGGTGGATGCCATGGATGGAAGTGTGGGAGTTGGCCGTGGGGTTGGATGCGATGGAAGCGCGCGGGAGTGGATGGACGGCATGGATGGACAAGCGGGGGAGTGGGTGCCGGAAGGTCGATGGATGGAAGCGGGCACGCCCGCGAGTGGCATGACGAGAATGGATGAGCGCGGGACCTGTGTCTTCCTGTCGGTGGATGGTTCGGACGCGGGGATTGTGTGACGGACATGCGATGGGAGCGGCGGGAACGGGTGGTTGATTGGTTGATAGGATGGATGGATGGGGCAGGCGGGGGAACGGGGATGGTTGATTGCGCGTTGATGGATGGGATGGATGGGAGCGGGGGAACGGCGTGGTTGATTGGGTTGAATGGATGGATGGAGAGGAGGGGAGCAGTCCGTGCCGGTGGTCTCTGTGGCTGCTCTCTCACCGCTTGTCATTGTGTGTTGCCAGGAGCCGCCGGCACAAGGAGTCTGACGTCTGTAGGAACTCGGTGTCGAGCTCTCGCAGTCGGCCGATGGACCTGTCCACCCCAACGCCTGCCGGTGAGATCATTTGTGCCCGACTGAGCGGAGCCGATCGTCGACGTGCGCCGTGACGGACGCTGAGCAGCCGAACATCGCCTGTGACTACTGAGCAGTCGACATCGCGTCGACACGGAGCAGCGAGTGCGGAGTGTTGCCGCGTCCGGCGGAGGGGCGGGCGTACTCTCCTCCCGCTGCTCTCTCTGCTCTTCTGCGCGCGTGAGGGTGGGGAGCCGTTCGCTGTAGCTTCCTCTCAGCTGGTGCTGAGCGCGCGGAGCAGGGGGGGGGGGGGGGGGGCGGAGGGGTGTACGTGCGTTTTTGCTACTCGTGTAACTCTAGTGCAGTGTGCTGATATATACTTTATGGCCGGGTTGCGGACGAGCACCCAATCGTCTCTCCCCCGGCGCGCGAAAGCGCGCGCCGACGGGCGCTCCCGCCGCGTTCGCTGTGTCGCCGCTGACGCTCGTCGTCTCGCTCCCTGCCGTTCCCAGCTCGATGTCTTGTTAGGTCGATTGCGCCAGCTCGACGCCTGCCCCACCCACGTCCCTCTTCTCTCTGCGCGCGCCACTTGGTGCAATGTTGAGTGACCCGCAGTGAATACTCTCTTGCCATGGGACGCCTGGACTTCGACGTCGCTCAGCGCGCGCGCTGCGCCAAGCCATTGTGTAAAAGAAAGAATAATTTTTTGCGCGTCTCGCGTTAAACGCAAGCGACCTGAGGTTAGAGATCGGTCGGTGACGAGAGAGGAGAGCAGAGAGAGAGAGGAGAGAGACGACGAGCGCGAGAGCGGGGGAGGGATTCACTGGATGGCAAGCTGATATGTTACAACCAAACGCTCGGTTGTTCGCTCGACTCTTGCTTCCGTTTGTTGGATGATAAGTGCGTATCTCGTGTATGTGCATGCTTGACCATGATGATTTCAGCTGCACCTGGCTGCTTGCAGCGATTCGCAGGTGCGGTCCGTCAATCGTAGTATTAGCTCCAGGGCAGCAAGAGATGCTTTCGCGCAAGTCCATTGTGCAACTGCAAATCTTCAACGATCAGATGTTAGAGGCGGCGATGCGATTTGCCCTCACCTTCTAATGCACTCGCACTACGTACACGTACACGCACACACACACGCACACGCTGGCACCGGGTCGGTGCAGAACTAGCCATTGATGTACTGCCACTTCAGTTTTACGTCGACTTCACTCTCGGAACAGTTTCTGGTCAGTTTTTTTTCTTCGTGAGTGGCGCGGCGTCGGCATGTCCGTAGCAGGTTAACCTTTGCTGTTATAATCTGATGGCTATAGGTGCAGCTGCAGTGACTCGGACAACAATGTGAGCCTATGGTCGTATGGTTGGCACGCTGAAGTGCTCGGGGACAACAATGTGACGTCATGCGTGCTAGGTGGCTCGTGCACGGAGGCTCCGCGACAACAATCGTGACCTATGGTCCGGGCATGTAGTGGCGCCTGACAGTGAGTCGGTGACAACTGTGACGCTATGGAGTATAGGTGGCACTGAGTGTCGGACAACAATGTGACCTATGGTGTAGGTGGCACTGAGTGTTGGGCAGCGATGTGACCTACTGAGTACTAGGGATCGGCGCTGATGTCGCCGACGAGCAGTGCGTGCACACTCTAACGGGATATACCGGTGGCGCTCGAGTTCATGACGGAGCGATAGTAACCACGTACTGAGATGGACGCTGACTTTTCGACAGCAGTGGCTGGTAACTACGGTATAGTGGCGCTGAGATGTCTGCCGGAGCACTGTAACCTACGGATATAGGTGTGCGCTGGCTCGCCGCCCGGAGTGTCGGACAGCAGTGATGTAACCTACGGTATAGGTGGCGCTGATTGTCGGACAGCAGTGATGTAACCTACGGTATAGGTGGCGCTGAGTGTCTGACTGAGCGATGTGGTATTACAGCGGCCCACTCCCAACACCACGGAAAGTTTCAGTAGTTTTTTTTCTCAGCTGTTGTCTTGCTTACCCCACGAGTCCTACTTTGTTTGAGAATTGTAATGATAATAAAAGTACTATTGTATTGCGTTTATAAAAACGCGGCCGCTTTGTTGTTTGCTTGTTGTTGCCAATGTGTATGCCACTAAGTGCGGTAAAGTATACATATATCTATGTATATATATATATATATATATGTATATATATATATATATAATTATATATGTACCTCGCACTGTTTGGTATTCGTTTTCGGAGCAGCTGTAACAAAAATGACGCATGAAATAAATGATTATTAATTATTTACATCCATTTTTTATGTCGAATAAAATTACATTAAACTTTACACATTATTCTTGCCATTAAATCTGTAGCTGTAGACAGTTTTTGATCGATTGCCAAACGCATTGGTGCAGGAGTTGTTCCACGAATTCTAAATGTTTGTTCTTTGGATGCGAAATGAAGGGCGGTTGGAGGGGATACAGTCCCAATACAATGTATTTTGACTGTATAGTTCGTAATATTTTGCGTGGTCACGATTGCAGCCACCATGCACTAGAGGGAGGGGTTCTAACGCCTCTAACGCCACGCTTGCACGGATACATGCACGTAAGCAGCATCGCACGTGTATTATTGACGCATATATCCACTTATAGATAGAACATTTCTATCAGTCACCTAGTGGCAATCCACCATAGTATGGCCACGGCAGAAGCATAACGCGTATTGTGCGCATGCAGCGTTAGTGTGCGAGTGTGTCAGTGCGTGTAGGGCCTCATTATTCATTAGGCACATTGCCAAGTCATGCAAAAATTATCTTGGATGACTGTTGCCGATTTTACCATACAAATAAAAAATATTTTAGGTTACGTTACATTAACTCTTCGTTTTCCAAGGGTTGAAGGCCACTGTCTGCATACACACGCGGTCGCTGATACAGATATAGATACACTATGTCGTGGATACAAAAATATTCTTGGGATAGTATAACTACGTGCACATATGCCTACGATAAGCGTGAGTCAGTTAGTGCATGCAGGAAATCTAATTATGTATATGGAGACGTTTTTTAAATTCTGTACACGTTTTTTGTTTTTGAATTACTTGGCTCAATTTCAACCACAGCAAACGTTCACAACAACCACAAAAAATCTGCATTGCAGTCAAAAATAGGTATCTACTGATAGACGAACACTTAGTGCACTGACCCTGCTTATTCACAACCCATTGACACGAGCTGGATAGAACTCACACCGAATAAATCATTGACAGTGTATATGGAAGATGGGCGTTTTTAATTTGCGCCTTGAGATACTTTCTGTAGTATATACTTTCTGGAATTTGCCGATTTAACATTTCGAATCATGTTGTTCATATACGGTACGTTGTTTTCGCAAGAAAGTTGTGTGTCAATTTGTCAAAGAAAGTCAAGAAAATCGCTGTGTAGTTGATCAGGGTTCCCACAAAAGTGTGAATAATTTTTTCAAAGACAATCCGTGACAAGTAGTTTTAGCTTTTTAGAGTCATCATAATATGATATACCTTAGATTCATATACAAAGTAAAAATAGTTGTTTTACACGATTGCCGACAGCAGATTAAACAGCCGCTATTGCTCGCCGATTACCGACGTGGTACACAATAGTTGTTTCATATTGTCATTCACGTACATTCATATCACAGTCCTGTAACAATATGTAAAGCTTTGATGTAACATGTATCCCTCAGAACTATGTGTCACACAATGTGCTGTATCACACAGAAATTTTATTATTTTAACTGCTCGACACTATTGCATTTATCAGATTTTTTCTCTATGAAAAAGACTGTCTTCAGTACATGTATTTGTAGTTGAATTACGTGCAATAAAGATTTAATAATAATAATAAACAGTTGCCGGTTCTTTATGCTGACCTTTCATCTGCTATGTCAGGCAGTACCATTAACAGTGAATAAAAGTAATCACCCATTCCTTACTCCCCTCTCGCGAATGGTATCGCCCACGGCGTCAAGAACACTGAAAAGTTTGCCAGCCAAATGACCATATTTCAACCGAAACATTTTCAACCCCTGATGCACAAAATGTGATGCTACGCCTATAATACACGCGCACGCGTGCGTGCGACTATACCAGCGTGTGCGCGTCCGTTAGTGTGCGTGTATGTGTGTTTGTGTGACTGTAAAAACGCGTATTATAGCCGTGTAATCATATTTTGTGCTTGGGGGGGGGGTGAAAAAGTTGAGGCTGAAAACCAGCCATTTGCCTGGCCAACGTTTCAGGGTGTTGCTATCCCCGGGCGTGGAGGGAGGGTCACGTGATACAATTGCGCCTAACCCTAACCCTAACTCTAATCCTAACCCTAACCCTAACCCTGACTTTAACCCTAATCCTAACACTATCCTAACACTAGTGCTGCCACGTTGCGGTCACCTCCCTCCACGCCCGGGGGATAGCATTACCCAACGTTTCACGGTGCAGCTGATGCAGTGGGCGATACTATCCGCGAGAAGGGGAGGGAAATACTGAGGGGAAAAGAGTGAGAGGGGAGGAGGAAGGAAAGAGGAAAGGGGGGGGATCGAGGGAGGAATGCAGACGGAGATGTGCACACGCATGCGCAGTCACACGCACAGACAAACGCACGTAAGGCACAATTAAACGGCACAAACACAGGCAAGGATGCACATTGTCCTGCTAATATATAGTTACTTCTCTCACCTTCCCGCTCATGCTCTCCTTCTCCGTGACTCTCGCCTTACTCCTCTCTCTCTCTCTCTCTCTTTCTCTCTCTCTCTCTCTCTCTCTCTCTCTCTCTTTCTCTCTCTCTCTCTCTCTCTCTCTCTCTCTCGTTTTCTTTTTCGCTCTCTTTCTCTCTCTCTCTC